CTGCAATGCAAGAAAAGGAACAGTTAAATAGTAACAAAGGCTAAGTTGAGGTGATAGTAGTATTATTAAGAATGAAATAACACTTGCTTGGTTTAAGGTGAAAAAACAATAATTGTAGGATGGAATAACAATGTTTTTCACCTGCAATCATGAATAAATGAGATTTCACAATTGTATACAATTTTAGTGGTTTAAAAAAGATAACCTATAATTTTTTTTAATCTTTCAGAGTAAAAAATGAAAATAATAAAAAATTAAAATAAAATTAAGAATAGGCCAGCCTTTACCTTAAACTGTGGTCATGAAAACATCATTTGGCAAAGATAGTTGTAACAAACAAATTGATCATGAAGGAAACTAAAGGCACAACAGATGACTCAATTGAGTAGTATTATAGTGCCTCTTGAACCCGACCTCTTTTTTTGGGATCAATCTTTCTTGATTATACCAAAGCAGAATACAAGAATATGTTATGAGGCATTATGATACAACCAATAACCCACAGCTTGCCTAATCATTTTTTAGCTAACTTTAGTAACCAAAATACCTACAATAATAGAAAAAAATTATAGTTATAAAAAATCACTTCATGCAAAATGATTATTATGTTAAAAAAAAAACCTATTAATAGTTCTCTTCTACTGGGTTTTGTATCACCAAACATCCAAGCAAATGATAAAGCCAAAGTTGTAATTAAAACAACAAAAACAGCTTATAGTTTCCTAACTCCATAATTCTCTAGAATAAAAAAATAAAACTATAAATAAAGAGCAGGTGAAACACTTGTTAAAGGTGAAAAAAACATCAATTTTCAATTTAAAATAATAAGATCTAACTTGATCTTCCCTAGTTAACACCCAGAAACGTAAAAAGGCTTAAACTTTAAATTCAAACAAATCTAAAATATCATCCAGATAAAAAACCAAAAAAAAAAAAAACTTGGAATCAAATTAAAATTTAAACAAAAAGCCATAAGAAATTCATCAAATTTAAGGCATTTACCAATCGATGTAGTAATTAAAACCCTAGCTACGAAGCTTAAAAAATACTATACACCAAAAAAAAAAAATTCAAACACAAAAATATCTTGCATGCACAATTAATTTACATCATGCATGCACAGAGACAACAATATCAAAACACCACCATAATTCATTGCAAAAAATGAACCACAAATAAAACAAAGTGAAGAAAAACCAAGAAATCAAATATGAAAAAAAAAAAAAAAAACTCACTTGAACAAAGAAACCAAATAAAATAACAAAAAAACTAAAAACTATAAAAAAAACCCTTGGCTTTCACACGACAAAGTTTAGCGACAAAACCCTTTTTCTAGCTTTTTTTTTTTTTTTCATCAGCAACTTAGCTTGTCGCTAGCCCTTATTCTTTATCTGTTTTTTCTTTCCCTTTCATGTTCATCTTTCGTAAGGATAAAATTGAAAATCCATGCAAAATTATTTTATCGATAAAAAATTAAACCCAAATTAATAACCATAATAAAATCTTCACTTCCGCTTATCTTTCTCCTCATTAGTCTTCTACTAGCAACCACCAGTCATGATCGCTGACATTCTCCTTTCCACTCTCTCCCTCTAAAAACTTTTAGGGTTTAATTTGTAAATCGGTGAAAAGATAAAAATTAAAACAAAGATTATTATCAAATTTACTCTCAAATTGTTTTTAATGACATTCTTTATGTGGCTAAGAAATTGATATTGGGAGACTAATTTAATATATTTTATAGATAGATAAAAAAATTATAAAATTTATTATATATAAATTTTAATTAAATATTTTTAATAATTATTATTTTTTAGTTATATTTTATTTTATTATCATCATTATTTTTATATTTAAATATATATTTCATTATTGAATTTAATTTTATTATTATAATAATCAATATTATTATTATAATAATTAATATTATTTTCATAACTAATTTTAATTTCTTCAAAATTAATTCCCTCATCATCCAAACAAAGACTAAAATCACATTCACGCCCACCAAGGCTCTCTTCAGTCTCGACTCTGAATGCTTTCCTTTGGTCTTCGAAGTTTTGGATGTGGTGTGGGTCCTGTGACAAGGTTGATGATACGACTACTAGATCAAGTGAATCCAGTTGCAGAATATTAAAGTAGCTAGTTCCAATGTAACATCAGCATGTCGAGCTTGAGAATTGAGATTTATTGACGTCACTTTGGTCTTTCGGTATAGGCTCCCCTTTGCTTCGAAAATGTAAATCCTCCCAGTACTCTACACTGTCTTTTCATATTAGATTTGACCAGGTATGCAATAGCACCGCCATGTCAGTTGTACTGAAACTCAGATTTTCCTCCTTCCCTTCGACGGGTCTCTCATTTCATGCATGACTTTGATTTAAACAACTAAAATTTCATTTCTGGCCTTCAGTTTTTGACTAAATCACGCTTTATAGTTTACGCTTCATAGTTTAAAGAGACACGGGACATTTGTTATTATCAATTTAAATTTGTTAGAGCAGAGTCGATGTCAAATTCTATATTACATACACAAATATTCGTCCGATGTAGTGATGTTCGTCTTTAAGCATATGCTTGTGTCACGACGCCGTACGAGTTCAAGTCCAATGGAGTTGAGTTACGGCAATAATGGATCATTGTTCCGTGACGCTTGCTAGAAACAGAAAATAACCAAACTCCGGTCTCAATATCCATGTTAGATGCGGCATATATAAGTAACCAGTCCATGCTAACATTGTCCAGTCCTGAAAGTTTGAAGTTTAAAAAGTGAGTTGCACTTAGGAATATCTGTGATTTCCGATTCGTCCATTATTATTATTTTTTTCTCGTCAGGCTGTCCGTCATCTCCCATCGAGGAAAGAAACAACAAGGAAATTAAGCAACATTGTTAGATGTGGTCGAGGTTCAATGTTTACATTTTAAGCATCATCATCAGTTTAGTATTTATCACAAACCAAAGTATCTCTAATCTCATCTTGTCCTCTCTCGTGATCCCCTACATTTATCTTCACTGCTAGCTGATTCAGAGTTTTGTCTGACTATATTCAAGCATTTGACAGAAAAAGAACAGTTTGGTAGTTGGGTAAAAGAATATATTCTGTGTTTCCTCGAGGAGAAATTTCACTTGAAGGTAGCTTGAAAACAAAAGCCAGTTTGGACACCAATTGTCAAAGAAGCTTCCGAATATCTTCTTGTAGCTATAGTTAGCGTTGCTTCAAAATTACACGGTGGTTCCTTAATAACGTGGAGAGAAGGTTATGGTCCACAAATATAAGCAATTTCATTAATCAATTGGGTACTTCATGATCTTTGCATTTTGACAAGTACCGTACAAACATGTTGCAGTCTTGCAAACTAGCTATTACCCTACGACATCTACTTTCATTTTTCTCCGTCAGAGATAGGTTTTGAAATTAGAGGCCGTACTGTATCAAATTAAAGAACCCCAATACCAGTTCATTGCTTTGCTTACGAAGCAAACATCTTATAATTCCATTTTCTGTTCAACAGATTCAAAACTTGGCAAAACAAATAGACCATTTTTTGACTTTGTAATTGCATCTTTCACTTACAGCTAAAGAAAATCAATTATTTAATAAGTTCATATTTAAATTTCAATACATATAATTTATTTTATTATTTTTAAATTACAACCTAAAAAATATACTAAATGCTTTAAAGTCATATCTAATTAATAAATAGGATGTTTAAAAGGAACATTAATGTAAATCATCATCCAATTGCTTTAAGAAAAATTTTCTATATAAATGGATGTTCATATTAAGATTGTAAAAATTACAGGTATTAAAATTAAGGAGGATAATAGGTCGTATTGGAGTGAGTTTTTGTTCACTTCTAATCCGACTTGATTTTAAATATATAAAATTAAAATTTAATTTGATTCGATAATTTTTTAATTAATTTTATATTCGAATTTGAATTCGATTTGATATTGAATAAAATCATATCATACTCGAAATTAATAAAATATTATTTTAAATATAAATATAAAATTAAATATATAAAAAATATATAAATAATTATAAAATTAAATAAATAATTAAAAAAATTATTTATATATCAAATTGAATAAAATCAAATTTACTTAAAATTTGATCTTAATTTTTTTATGCTATTTAACCTGATTTGATATTTAATTTTTTTTCAAAATAAATCTTAAAATATTAAATCAAATCAAAACCTATCGATTTCAAATTTTTTTACCCTCTCCGACTAAAACGTTGAAAACTCAATATTTTGGACCAATATTAGAAAAAAAAAGAATAAACAAGAGTTGAAAAAAGAAACCCGAAAGAGAGACGCGTCAAAACAGCAAACCTATGCGTCGAAAAGTTCAAAAAAATCTAACCTAAATCTTAAAAACTGTAATGACTAAAACACCCCTACTTGGTTGCAGATTGAGAAAATAGAAAAAGTATCGGGGTTATTTTATTAAATTTAATCCGAATTTGACTACTAAGTACTAACTACTTAAACGAAGTAAACTTTTCCTGAATTATTCATAATCGAGTCAAAAAATTTTGATTTATTTATTATTGAATTAAACTAGAATTATTTAAATAATAAATTAAATTGAATTTGAATAATTAATGTACGATTTTCAAAATCTCGGGAGGAATCGAATTGATTTTTTATCTTTAATATATTTAATATATATAAATAATAAAAAATTATGTTTAAAAATAATATTTATAATTAAATTAAATTCAAACATAATAAATCAGATTAAATCAAAATTCAAACTTAAATATTTTAAATTCAGTACAATTTAATCCAGTTCGATTATATCCTATTGACATCAACGAGAAAAAACGATAAAGAAAAACGATAAAAAACGACGACGCCGAAGCAAAGGTATAAAAGGCCACGTGCTCGACGTGTGGTTTTTTTGGAACTTGACTCGACGTGTGTTTTTTAAGTTTAAGCCTATGAACGAAAACTGACGCCTTTTTATTTATTTATTATATAGTATATAAAAACGCATTTACAATCTTATTAAATTCTGGTTTAGTATTTTTTCCTCTCTCACGTAAATTTCACTCTTTCTCTCTCCAAAACCCCTCTATTTGTCTTTTGTTTCTCATGAATTGTGCAGATCAGCGCCTAACCATCCTATTTTATTTTCCTGCGTTTTTTTAGTTTTATTTGTGGTTGTTTTTTCGTGAAGAGAAGAAGCTTAGAATTTACTTGTGTTTTTGAAATTTTGAAATAAAAAAAAAAGTAATAAGAAGATGACGTCAACTTCGGGAGCAGCTTCGTCTTCTAAGATTTGCTTCAATTCGGACTGTAAAGACTTGAAATCGGAAAGACTGCGGAAAGGTTGGCGGTTGCGAACCGGAGAGTTGGCTGAGCTCTGTGACCGATGCGCGTGAGTTTCACTTCTTTTTTTAGACACTGTTGACTTTGTTTTTAGCTGTTTTTCTAGTTTGTTAATTTTTTTCCAAATCTTTTTTGTTTTAATTTGGTATGATATTAAGTTTAGTTGCAGAATTATTGTCCTTTTATGGTTATCCGGAAGGTTAATTTAGGAATTTTGTTCACTTGAATTAGATGTTCAAAATGCTTTACTTAATCAGGAACTTTTTTTCAAAATGTGAACTATTGTTCAATTTTTTTGCAATGTTATAATCTGAATTAAGCTCTTTGTTGACTTTAGTTCTGCTTTTGAGGAGGGAAGATTTTGTGATACTTTTCACTTGAATGCTTCTGGTTGGAGGAGCTGCGAGTCATGTGGGAAGGTTAGTACAAGCATTTATAAACGTTAATTATTTGCTATAATTTGGTGCTATGATGTCGAATGTGTGCTTTGATCTTCCCTAGATTCTTACAATCGTTCTTTATGTGCAGCGGGTCCATTGCGGATGCATTGTTTCAGATCATGCATTTACTTTGTTGGATGCTGGAGGAATAGAATGCATAGCTTGTGTGAGGAAAAATGTTGTTTTGGTGAGCATGGATGATATTACTATGTTATTCTGATGTCTCTTCCAGAATCTGTTTTTAGACTTTATATTGGAATTGTTATGTAATGGTAGGGGCATAATCTGTTATTACTTGTTAGTTTGTTATATATGTGAACAAAATACATCCTTTTCTATCTGATGTGCTGTTACTTTTAAGGTTCGGGACTTCAACTATATTTCCTAGCCGGTAGTATTCATTGGCTGTGGAATATGTTGTAGACCTCTTCATTTGACATTCTATATCTCAGGGATCAACTTCTTCATTGCCACCTTCTTTGGTTTTCCACTCAACTTTGTCTGAGAGATCTAAAGACTATTCTGCAAATGGTCTAGCTAATTGGCTAGTTGGTTCGGGTCCTGTACCTTGGCGGCAAGCACCCAGTTTGTTCAATTCTTCAATTTCTAAGCCTGAGTTGCATTCTAGAGTTCCCTATGAAGTTGACATATCCACTGGCATTGACAGACTAAATGTCTCAGGCAGATTATATACTCCTTACCTTGAAAAGAAGAACATTGAGGACTTCTCTGAAAGGTTAATGAATGGACCCTTGAAGCCTGGTGCACGGGATATAAATGAGAATGGAAATGCAGGTTCAGAAAAATTTTCCCTGTATCAATCATGGTAGTCTTATAAACATATACCTAGGAACATTAATGCCTGCATAATGCATATGTAAGATGTGGATGTCTACAAATTCTTGGACATACATTTTGTTCTGCAAAAATTGTCTCTAGAAAAACTTATTGGTAGTTGCTGAACCTCTTGCGGACCATTTGTTGTCCAGGAATCAATTTTGAGGAGCAGCGTAGTTCTTGTTTAACTAAATCTCAGCAGCCTTCTCTGAAGGAGGAGTCATCTAATCCACCCTTTGGGTTATCTGTACCTTATACATCTCCAGATGAAGCAAATGGTCAAATTGGGGTTTCTGGCACTCATTTGCGACCAAACCCCCAACCTCCACCGGCCAAACAATTTCATAGTAATCTACATAATGGAATTGACTCATCAGTAGAAACTCAGATTCTTAATGGGAGGCCTAGAGCAGATAGCCGTGGACGGAATCAATTATTTCCTCGTTATCGGCCTAGGTTTACTGACCAAGACCTGCAACAAATAGCTGGAGAGTATCCATTGATTCTTTAAGGCCTTCTTGATAATTTTTAATTGCATTGAACGTACTAGATCATTTACCTATGATAATTGATCTGACAGAGTTAATTAACCTTTTAAAAAACATGCTTCGTTATTTTTTGAGAGACTTATATTCTATATAAATTTTGGGGAAAAAACCTCCACTAATATTAATTCTCAAAGTTGGGTTTTTGTCTAAAACTTTTGTTTTTCACATAATTATTAGTACCTATATGCTGGTCATGTCAATTCTTTAACTACATTCTGCTCCAGTTAGACTTAACCACATTTAAGTTCAAATTCTATAATAACTCCTTTGTTTGAGAAAATGTTAAGTGCTAGTGATGCTGGGCGAATTGGACGTCTAGTGCTGCCAAAAAAATGTGCTGAGGTGAGTTGTCACTCGAACCTACTTAAGAATTTTTAGTTTGATCAGCATTTGTTGTCTTAGTAGCTTTGCAATAAAAATTTACAGATTGGTGGTCATAAAAAGCTTGGAAGTTAAAATTTTTTTTGTTTACATCAATTGTCTAGATTGTTCTCTTGTGGAAAGGTAGCAGGTTTTGAATTCATGCATTTTTGGTCCCAATTAGTATCCTTGATTTTTTTTTTTTTTCACTTGAAACACTTTCATCTAGTTATGTACTGTCAGTAATTTAATGATTCTATTGCTGAAGTTAAATATGAGCCTTGTGTTTTTTGTTGTATGTCTTAGTTTCTCATCAATTATTACCTAGATTGTTGTCACATACTAAAATGCACTCATCATAAGACAGGCCTATTTCCCCCCAATTTCTCTGCCAGAAGGCTTACCTCTTAAAGTCCAGGATTCAAAAGGAAAGGAATGGATATTTCAGTTTCGCTTCTGGCCCAACAATAATAGCAGAATGTATGTTTTAGAGGGGGTTACTTCTTGCATACAGAACATGCAATTGCAAGCGGGCGACGTAGGTAACAAACTAATATCACTGGAATACAATGATTTAGAGATTTGAATCTTTTGTGCTATGAGGCTCAATGTATGTCATGTTCAAGTTATTGCTAAATTTGTGCTTCTCCTCAGTCAGCTTTGTTCTTTAGAATTTTCTGGATTCTTTTAATTGCTTCTTGGATTTACCTTCATATATGTTAATGACAGGGTCTAATTGTGTTGCCTATTGCCCTATTCATTTTGGTTGTCCAGCAATTGTGTGTTTCTCACCCTTGTGCATTTGCTTTATTTTTCTTACCAGCATGTGACTATTTCCTATGATCATGCATCATGATTTGAGACTTATGTTTTGAAACTGATAGTTATGCTGTTTCCTCAGTAACATTTAGTCGGTTAGAGCCTGGAGGGAAGTTGGTCATGGGTTTCAGAAAGGCTTCAACTGCTTCAGCATCTGAGCAGGTTCGTCTTGCAAAATGCACCATCTACGCTGATTGTACATCTGTATGCTCTAGAGCTAATATAACATGGAATACAAAACGTTCATATAAGTGCTTTTGTTCCCCTTGTTCTTTGTTCCTTCTTGGGATGCAATTACACTTAAATCATGATAAAACATATTCGTTGGGTAAGATAAATTTTGTTCTTTCTAAAAGCTATATTTAATTGTTTTTAAATTAACTTTTGTGTAACCCCCATTGACTCAACAGACATGAATAGCAATTTACATACATTTATTTGTGTTTTCATTGGCAGGACAATAAAGCCAAACATAGTAATGGGATGTCTACGCAAGGAGATGTTAGTGTCTCAAAACCTAAAACTGGTGATATTACTTAAAGTTAATTAATTATTAAAAGATAGCACATGTTTACCTAGCTTTTCATCAATCAACCAGGCTGAACTGGCAGATCCTACCTCATGGTCAAAAGTTGATAAGTCAGGATACATAGCAAAGGAAGCATTAGGAGCCAAACTAGCAGTTTCCAGAAAGAGGAAGAATAGCATTTTGGGTTCAAAGAGTAAGCGCCCAAGAATTGATAATGAAGACCTGATAGAGCTCAAACTAACATGGGAGGAAGCTCAAGGGCTGCTCCGTGGTCCTCCTAATTATGTAGCCAGTGTTGTAGTGATTGAAGGTTTTGAGTTTGAAGAATATGAGGTATGGAATATCTTTATTTAATCTCTTTCTTTTTTTGATCACTTGTAATATCTGTTGTGATTGAAATTGCTTTTGGTTGTAAGTGGCAGGCTGGCAGCAATGAAAGCCACTTATATTTCGTCATTGTGGTGTTTGTTTCTCATTTGTTGACAGCTTGAACTCCTGTAAAATGCATATCTAAGAATTTTTATGCTTGATAAACCCTTGACCAAGGCATATAGGCACAAAAACTTTTATGTTGTTTGTTGTTTATGGATGCTACTACAGATCCTGAATAATTAGATGTGAGAACATATAGGTGCTTTCTTTTTTTTTTTTTTTTAAGATGTGATCCATTTTCGACTGTATTCGTTTTTCTTTCCCTAGAATGTGAGGGTGTTTATTGTCTGTTAATTAATCAAATATTTTTTAAAATTTTTGGTTGCCTATTAATAGTATTTTGATACATTATGTATTCCACAAATTGTATCCTTTTCTAGGGAATTCTGTCTTGCCTGTTCCGTAATTATTCCAGAGTTTCTCAATTTCATTGTGTTTGTTAATAACAGGATGCACCGATTCTTGGGAAGCCAACAATATTCGCAACCGATAGTTCAGGGTAAATCACTTTCTTTTGGATGCTCAGAGACTTGTATTAAAGGAAAACCGATTAACTTAGTACTTGGCTATGGTTTTGTTAATTTCGTGGATTTGTTGAAATCTCTACGGTTACTGTATGATATTGAAATATTCGATTGTGCTTACAGTGACCTTGGTGGGTTTATTCAAATATTTCATGAAATCATAATCAAAACAAAGTCCAATCATTATTCACTTTGTTGATCTTAAGGAAGCAAAAGAGTAGTCTGAAAGCAAGCAAATACTAATCTGTTTCATTTGTGTCAGGGAAAAGATTCAGTGGGCTCAATGCGAAGATTGTTTTAAATGGCGTAGATTGCCTTCCGATATTCTTCTTCCTTCCAAGTGGACCTGTTCCAGTAACTCATGGGATCCAGAAAGGTAAGCACTCATTCGAACGTTTTTCTCTATTTTGCAAATGCTGTCTTTTGCTAGGATGCTTTAATGATACTAAACACGCTTATACATTTTTAATTCTAGGTAACATGTAAATCTTATGTGTAACTTTCTCAACCAGATCAATTTAATGCCCTACCCACCAAAAAAGAAATAAAAGGAAAAAGAATCCTGGAAAAAAAAGTGAAAAAACACAAGAATTAGTTTCTATGTGGGCATAGCTTGAACACTTTTTTTTGTCTACCATGCTGGCAGATCTTTCTGTTCGGCCACTCAAGAATTGACAGCAAAACAGCTGGAAAATCTGCTGCCACACTGTAATCCAGGTATTTGTTGCTTGAAGAAACAAAATACATACATTTTGCATGTCTGACCTGGAGCAAAGTATGAATGAATTTGATTTCTTGATGAAGGTTTTTGTTGTAAAATATTGATTCTTGTAATTTATTTCCTATTGTGAAATTAGTAAATTGATTTTTTGATTGTGATTGACAGCTGCTTTTAAGAAAATGAAGGCTGCTAAACAGGAACCAGAAAATGTAGATGCTCTAGAGGGCCTGGACACTCTTGCCAACCTAGCTATCTTGGGAGAGGGTGAGACTCTTCCTGCTTCATCTCAAGCCACCACAAAGCATCCCCGGCATAGACCTGGCTGCTCATGTATCGTATGCATTCAGCCCCCAAGTGGTAAGGGCCCCAAACACAAGCAGTCGTGTACTTGTAATGTCTGCCAAACAGTGAAGAGACGCTTCCGCACCCTCATGCTACGGCGTGAGAAGAAACAGTCACAAAAAGAATTGGAAACTGCATGCAAGAAGCAACGACCTTCATTGCCTGATAAAGAATTGGATGATGACCCTCTCCCCTGCACTAATGCAGGAAATAGCAGTCCAAACCCGAAAAAGGTTGTCAGTGAGGGTTCAGACGATGACCCTAACAGAGTAAAATCCTCAACTTCACCTTTTAAAGGCCAAATTGACTTGAATATCCAGCCAGAGCGAGAAGAGGAGCTGTCACCTGGTTCAGATTCTGGCAGCATGATGAGATTGCCTCAAGATGCCACTGAGAGGTACCTTAGGCAGCCAAGGATGTTGACCTCTGGCGGCAATAGTTATTCAGAAGTTACCCAGACACAACCTGGTGAAGGCACAGAAGGAGAAAAAATCAGCAGCAGTGTCAACCTTGGAGCCAGTCATCCAGATGCTGACCGGGACCATCCAGCAGTTTTCTCTGTTAGACCATCTGCACCTACATCAGCCACTGGCTAGCTGAATGCAATATGTTATATTGGCCATTTGCAAGGTATCACTATTGTAATGAGGGCGGTACAGTTTTGGTTACACGTACATCTTCATTGGCATTTTTCTTGACTGATGTACATAAAAGAAGAGGTTATAAGGTTGGCAACATGGTTAAGAAACTTTGGTCATCCTCTCCACAGTAATTTAATGGGTTTTGACCCGCTGCAAAAGGAAGGGAAAGGGGGGGGGGGGGGTGATGACGCAAAATGCAGCCAGTGGGAATGGGGGTTGAAGCTAATGTAGTTCATTTTAGGAGCTCACCTGCTACACATAGAGAAGAATTGAGGATGTAAATTAAGTGCCTGCTTTTCCAATTAGTAAAAGAGAAATTGCATTCTGTTGATTTTATGTTTGTTTTGTTGCCTTCCCTGCCGTCTTAGATTGAAAAATGTGCTTAGGAGTAATGGCGTGGTAATCATGTGAAAGATTTAAAGCGGAGGATTACTGCTAAACTGAAAATCATGTCCTTTTTTTTTAAACCGATAACAAATCATGTGGTTTGATTTTGAAGAGGTCTATACACAGAGTCAATGTCAAGCATGGGGAAAAAGAGAATATGGAGAATTTTCATCATATGGACTAGTTTCTGACTACATGTGCAAGGTCGTAGGCTTTTTTATAAACGATGTAGAAATTTGGAAGGCAATTCTAGAGGGTTTAGCTTAGACAGCGTATTTCCTCTTCAAATGAAGCAATCCCACTTGTTCAAATCAAGACAATTTTAACAGAATATTTCACTTGTTAAAATAACGAAAATCATGAAAATTTTTCCGAGAATGGATAAAAGAATGCACATGGGACGATTATGATGGATTCATGGATAAAAAAGGATGACCAGGTCAACCAAGCCATCTTGTATCCACTGAAAAAGGGAATGTCATTGATTCTTCTGAAACCAACCTTTTTTTAGATTAGCATCTCAAATAACCTTTTGCCTCCAATACCTTTTTTTCTTACCAAAAATAAGGGAAATTAGCCTTTGTCCCTCGATTGGTGACAGTTTTTCTTTTTTGTCACCTCCTCTCTCTTCCTCCAGGATTGCCAATAGTAGTTGATGAAGAGGAAGACAACGCCCCATGTCTCCCAAAAACTCCAAATACATTACAAATTAATATTAGATTGGTTCATGCACAGCTTTGTCAACCCTTTGGGGTAAACTTCATATATAAATATTAACAAAAAAGAAGAAGAGAAGTAATTTGTAAAGTTGTGCCAAGATGAATGATTTGATCTCAAGTTCGTTCAAGAAATACACAGACCTGAGGCAACAGGTCTACCTGGACGACATAGAAGCAGGAAATGAGAGCGTTAATCTCGATAAATTCTTCGAAGATGTTGAGAATGTAAAGGAAGACATGAAAAATGTGGAACGGCTGTACAAGGCATTACAAGAAGCCAACGAAGAAAGCAAAACTGTCCACAATGCAAAGACCATGAAACAACTACGTGCTCGAATGGACACGGATGTTGAGCAGGTGCTTAAAAGAGTCAAAATTATCAAGGGAAAGCTTGAAGGTTTAGAACGATCCAATGCAGCTAGTCGAAACGTTCCAGGTTGTGGGCCTGGATCATCTTCAGATAGAACCAGAACCTCAGTGGTTAGTGGCTTGGGAAAGAAACTGAAGGATTTGATGGATGATTTTCAAGGATTGAGATCAAGAATGCAATCAGAATATAAGGAAACAGTGGAGCGCAGGTATTTTACGATCACGGGGCAGAAGGCTGATGAAGACACTATTGAGAATTTGATTTCAAGTGGTGAAAGCGAAAGCTTCCTGCAAAGGGCCATTCAGGAGCAAGGAAGAGGTCAGATTATGGACACAATATCAGAAATTCAAGAAAGGCACGATGCTGTTAAGGAGATAGAGAAGAACTTGATTGAACTCCATCAGATATTCTTGGACATGGCTGCCCTTGTTGAAGCTCAGGGTCACCAACTCAACGACATTGAAAGCCATGTTGCTCATGCTAGTTCCTTTGTAAGACGAGGTACCGAACACCTTCAGGAAGCTAGGGAATATCAGAAGAACTCGAGGAAGTGGACATGTATAGCAATAATTGCTGGTGTTGTCTTCATTATAGTCCTCCTCTTACCACTTTTACCAACAATTATAAATCTCTTGTAGGAAGAGAGAAGGGAAAATCTCTTCTTGAGATGTATTCTGATTTTCAGCCTAATAAAATTCAGTTCAGATCGTACATATAGCAAGTTAATCAGAAACTATAGTTTTTCTCACATGAGAAAGCAGTGTCCTAGTCCTAGACAAGAGTTTTCTCATAAAAATAGCACAATTAGAAATGAGAGTTGAGGAAATTCCTCTCGCCCTTGGGCGTTATTGTTTCTTCTATCCAATCAAGTTGGAATCCAACAAAATTTATGGTCAGGAGATTTTTTTCGACAGAATCCCTTCAAAGGGTTCCGGAAGAAGAGCTAGTTTAAGTCAATATTGTTGCGTGGGAGGTTACTAGAACATATCAAATGTTAAATTGACCATGTTTAAACAGCTGTTTCACATCCCTTTTCTGAATGAAATTTCACTGGTTCTTTTTTTCCACTTCTATTTGTTCACATTATTGGCTTGGAAAATGGTACGAGCATTCCATTGCCAGTTATGGTCGGGATAGAACAGACGTTAAAAGGCCTTCAGCATCCCAGTCCACTTAATCTAACAATAATCTTTGGTACACTCCCAATGTCATGGTCAGACCTTGGTGTGTCATAGTCCTGCCATGGAGTAGCGAACGAGACCTTATGCATAGGATAGTGGGCAGGCAGTATGAGCCTCAGAGCTAGACGGACGTGCAGTCACGCCCTGGAGCTTGATAGCCTAGTGGGGTGCTCCCCTGTGAGCCTTGTTACGGGCACCGTCAAGTCGGTGCAGCAATGAGTTAGATGCGAGCAACATGGGGACCAAGAGGAAGATCATGGTGACTTGAAGACCTTGGAAGTGCTTTAGAAGAAAAGTGTCTCCTTTTCAGACATTGTTATGGTTCCTAGTAGTAGAACCCTAAAAGCTAGGTGTCATCCTTTTCGCTAGGATGGAGACTCGAGTGGGTGTGTAAATGAGAAAACCAAGTTGTTGCTAGCTCCAAAAGAGCATTTTGAGGCAAATATGCCATACTGCGACAGTGAGAGCTAGAAAATGAGCCCTGGATGCGATATGTGGGTGAATAGCCTAGAGGAAGTAGCCTCTTGAGTAGACTTTTGAATGCCAAGCAAAGGGCATAGGAGTCCGTCACACCTTGAGTATGGTGTTAGTTGTGTGAGTCGAATAGCGGTCGAATTATGAGATCAAAATGCGATACCTAGTGCACCATGAAATGATGTTAATTAGGCCATGAGAGAGAAATTCAGTATTATCCTTGTGGGATCCAGTCTCATTGGTTTTTTTTTGACTATTCAAAGGTCACGAATTTTGTGTTTTTACGCTTCCTTAAGAGAGCCTTGTATAATAAAAAAGGTCAGGGTTGATTTTTGGTGAAAAAAGAAGAGAGAAATAAAAGAGGTGTCGAAGAGAGAAAACGCAAAGCTAGAAAATAAAAAGAAAATAAAAAAGAAAGAATTAGTTGAATGAAAGTTGATCTGTGATCTGATTAAGTTAAAATTTTATCAACAAGTTTATGATTTAGAGTTCTACATTTTGAACGGTAAAGATCAAGTTTGAAGCTCTCTATGAATAAATTCAAAGTGTATTTGTTAAATCATCTATTTGGTAAAATTTCTCTAATTGTCTCTCTAGTTGTTGATTAGTTCTAGTTTTAGGTAGAGAAGAACTTTATATATCTATTATTTAATAGTGAAGATTTTTTTGGTGGTATGTGATTTTTTTCTCTACATTGGAGGATTTTTCATGTAAATCTTAATGTGTTTTATTTTTTCAATGTTGTTGATTATTGATTGTTGTCTATTATTGTGAGTTTATTACGATATATTGTTTTTGTGTTATTGTGTTTATTGCTTTAGGCCTAACAAATGGTATCAGAACGATGTTATTTTGAGACATCGATGTAGAAGCAACCCAAGATAGAAGTAAATTTTATTTGAGATCATGAAGGGTGATACAAGTTTCATGATAAAATTGATAGTATCAAATTATTCAATTTAGAAGCCTATGATGAAAGATAATTTATACTGCGAAGATTTATATGAGCTGGTATTAGATGATTCGATCAAATCAGTAGATATGAAAGATGAAAACTAAAAAAAGTTAAGTAGAAAGACGTTGGCTACATTTGAAAAAATGTGTTGATATCAGCGTGTTTCATCATGTAGCGTAGGAGACAGATGCCCACTATGTTTAGAAAAAATTAGAGCATTTTATGAGAGAAAATAGGTATAAATAAGGTTATGCTTGTTAAAAAGTTTACAACTTTACATACAGGGATGGGCGATCAATTACAGAGCATTTGAGTGATTTTTAAGATATATTTAATCGGATGATTATTATGAAACTTAAGATGGATGATGAAATGAAGGCACTGTTTCTTTTAGATTCATTGCCAGATAGCTGGAATACTCTAGTTATTATTATTCTTAATTCAACTCATGATTACAAAGTGATATTGGAGATGATAAAAGACAATATGCTTAATAAAGAAGCAAGACGAAAAGATTTAGACCTTAAAAATCAAGCTCTGATCACAGAGAATAGGGGTAGAAACATCGATAGAGGTCAGAACTCAAAAGATCGTAGTAAGTCTAAACATAAATCCAAGTCCTGAGATAAAGTGTAGTGTTTTCATTGTGGTAAAATATATCATATAAAATGATACTGCAAAATCTTAAAGCTAAAACGAAAAGATGAAAAAGATAAGAGTTTAGATGATGACAATATTATAGCAGTGAATTCAATAGTGATTCGGTTACTTTGATTTATACACATGATGATTGTAATCATGTTCGTAATCTCGACATTGAGTGGGTAGTTGACACATGAGTGGTATACCATTGTGTTCATAAGAGGGAGTTTTTACAACTTACAAAGCAAGAGACTTTGGTTGCATCAAGATGGTAAACAAGAGTGTGTCGTAGATTATTAGGATTGATGATATTATTGAACAAACTAATATAAGCTGCATGTTAACTTTGAGGGATGTCAGACATATTTTAGATATGAGAATGAACTTACTTGCTATTAATGTCTTTGATAAGGAAAGATATGGAGTTGACAAAAGATTGGGCAGTGAAAGTTTCTCAAAGGATTTATGGTAGTTGCAAGAAAAAAATTATGATGCACAATGTACAAGATATAGATGCAATTGAACGACAACCAACTAATGTCATTGAGGATAATGCTTTAGCAAACTTGTAGCATAAGAGGTTGACACACATAAGCGAGAAATGGTTACAAGTTTTGATAAGGCAGTCTCTCATTCTTTTGATCAAAGGTACATCTCTCGATTTATGTAATCATTATTTGTTTGGTAAGCATCATAATTTTTTTTTGTAAGAATTCTCAGAGAAAAGAAAATAGATTAGAATTGATTTATTCTAACGTCTATGGTCTCATTGAGGTTAAGTCATTAGGTGGTAGCAGGTATTTTGTTACTTTTATTGATGATGCTTCACATAAGACTTGAATGTATATGTTAAAAAATAAAAATCAGGTATTACAGTATTTTTAAAATTTTATGCGATGGTGAAAATGGTGATAGAGCTGTCCTTGAAGTGTATTCGGATTGATAATGATGAAAAATATACATCCAAAGAAGAGTACTATTCAAATTATGATATTAGACATGAGATGATAGAACCTAAAACACCGCAGCATAATGGTATAACTGAAAGAATGAACCGCACCATTGTGAAAAAAGTCAAATGCATGTTGAGGATGACAAAATTATCAAAGTCATTTTGGGGTGAAGCAGTCAACACAACTTGTTATTTGCTTAACAGATCACCATCAGTTCTTTTATGTTTTGACATTCTAAAAAGAGTATAAACAGAAAAAGATGCTTTATACTCTCACTTAAAAGTTTTTAAGTGTAAAACATTTATGTATATGCCAAAAGAATAAAAAATCAAAGCTTGACAGTAAAGCCACATAGTGTGTGTTTGTAGGATATGATGATGAAAAATTTGATTACAGGATATGGGATCCAGTGAAGAGAAAAATAGTTAGAAGTAGAGATATGGTCTCCCATAAAAAAAAATTATAGTAGACTTCAAAAAAAATGAGAAGACTATATGGGTTACTGTTGAATATGATGTTTCAACACCGATGAGGTTTAATAGAAAAGAACCACAGATGATAAAAATGAGCAAGAAACAAAACTTGAAGATATGAATGAGCCAACCATAGTTAGTGATGAGTAAGATGCAATCAATTTTGAGTAGGGAGAGCAATCATTTCTACCTGAGAGTGTTGAGCAAGATGAGCTACTTTCGGCATCGGGTGGCATAAAATTTTAGCCTAGAAGATCTATTAGAGAGCACAGGCCATCTACCAAGTATCTAAGTTTAAATTTTATTTTAGTTATCAGTGAATGGGAGTCGGAGAGCTTTCAAGATGTGCAAGCTATTTCGAATAGAGAGTACTAATTAAAAAAAATAAAAAAAAGATAGAGTTATTACAAAAAAATAGTACATATGATCTTGTTAAACTTTTGAAAGGAAAGAGGCCATTGAAAAATAAATGGCTGTTCAAGTTAAAAAAAAATGGTGACAAACTAGTGAGGTAAAAGCTCGATTGATGATAAAAGATTTTTCTTAAAAACCAGGCATCGATTTTGATGAGATCTTCTCTCCAATTGTGAAGATGAGTTCCATTTGAGTGTTACTATGATTAGTAGCTAGTTTGAATCTTGAGCTTAAGCAACTTGATATTAAGACTGCATTCTTGCATGATGACTTGCAGGAGGACATTTATATGAATTAACTTGAGGGTTTTGAAGTGAAAGGGAAAGAGTACTTAGTTTACAAACTGAAAAAAAGCTTGTACAGCTTGAAATAAGCTCTGTAATAATAGTATAAAAAGTTTGATTCTTTTATAGTGAGTCATAACTATAAAAGAATAGTAATGGATCCTTATGTATATGTCAAAAAAAATTTTGATGGTAACTTCATTATTCTTTTATTATATATTGATGATATGTTGATTGTGAAACAAGATGTTGGTATGGTTCA